TCTATGGTCTTAAAAAATATTCTTTAAAAAATCCACGCCTTGTATGGTTTTGAATAGTCTTTAATAGAATCCCAAGCCTTCTCAAGACTTGCAAAATTTTTTTTTAACAGCCATGACTTGTGTTTGAGCATAAAAATATATATTTTTTTAAATCCCGAAACATATTTGGAAAACAATTAAATTTTTTAATACACAACTTTCAAAAAAATATTCTTTAAAAAATCCACGCCTATGGTAGGCCTTGAAAAAATATTCTTTAAAAAATCCACGCCTATGGTAGGCCTTGAAAAAATTTTCTTTAAAAAATCCACGCCTATGGTAGGCCTTGAAAAAATATTCTTTAAAAAATCCACGCCTATGGTAGGCCTTGAAAAAATATTCTTTAAAAAATCCACGCCTATGGTAGGCCTTGAAAAAATATTCTTTAAAAAATCCACGCCTATAGTAGGCCGCCTATAAATCCCGAAACATATTTGGAAAACAATTAAATTTTTTAATACACAACTTTCAAAAAAATATTCTTTAAAAAATCCACGCCTATGGTAGGCCTTGAAAAAATATTCTTTAAAAAATCCACGCCTATGGTAGGCCTTGAAAAAATATTCTTTAAAAAATCCACGCCTATGGTAGGCCTTGAAAAAATATTCTTTAAAAAATCCACGCCTATGGTAGGCCTTGAAAAAATATTCTTTAAAAAATCCACGCCTATGGTAGGCCTTGAAAAAATATTCTTTAAAAAATCCACGCCTATGGTAGGCCTTGAAAAAATATTCTTTAAAAAATCCACGCCTATGGTAGGCCTTGAAAAAATATTCTTTAAAAAATCCACGCCTATGGTAGGCCTTGAAAAAATATTCTTTAAAAAATCCACGCCTATGGTAGGCCTTGAAAAAATATTCTTTAAAAAATCCACGCCTATGGTAGGCCTTGAAAAAATATTCTTTAAAAAATCCACGCCTATGGTAGGCCTTGAAAAAATATTCTTTAAAAAATCCACGCCTATGGTAGGCCTTGAAAAATATTCTTTCAAAAATCCACGCCTATGGTAGGCCTTGAAAAAATATTCTTTAAAAAATCCGCGCCTATGGTAGGCCTTGACAAAATATTCTTTAAAAAATCCACGCCTATGGTAGGCCTTGACAAAATATTCTTTAAAAAATCCACGCCTATGGTAGGCCTTGAAAAAATATTCTTTAAAAAATCCACGCCTATGGTAGGCCTTGACAAAATATTCTTTAAAAAATCCACGCCTATGGTAGGCCTTGAAAAAATATTCTTTAAAAAATCCACGCCTATGGTAGGCCTTGAAAAAATATTCTTTAAAAAATCCACGCCTATGGTAGGCCTTGAAAAAATATTCTTTAAAAAATCCACGCCTATGGTAGGCCTTGAAAAAATATTCTTTAAAAAATCCACGCCTATGGTAGGCCTTGAAAAAATATTCTTTAAAAAATCCACGCCTATGGTAGGCCTTGAAAAAAAAACTTGAAAAATAAGATCTTTAAAAAATCCACGCCCTGTGTTAGTTTTTGAAAAATATTTTCAATTTTTTTTTTTTGATTCACAAAAAATTCAAAATCTTTCAAATATGATCTCATGGCACACAAATTTATTTTACATTGAACAGATGTACATTTCGACATACAAAAAAATTAATAAATAAATAAATTAATTAACAACACCAAAAATATGTATCCAATTTTTTCAAATTCTCTCCACCCTCAAGTAGATGCCATGTGCCGCACCCAAGAAATAAGTTTCCTTATTGAATACAATTGGTATTTGAGTTTGTGGACAAGTGGAGAATTTGAAATTTTTCACAAGGGTTGCCAGCACCAAAGCAGTTTGCATTTCACCAAATCGTTTGCCAATGCAGTTACGTGGTCCCTCTCCAAATGGCATATAGACTACAGATTCTCGGCCCTTACAGTTACTGGGTGAAAAATTCTCCGGATTAAAGTCATCCGGTTGGGGGAAAAATTCTTCATCACGTTGTATGGCCAATACGGGGATCAGGACATTCATTCCTTTTTTAATGAGATATTTTTCATCGTGTCCGGGCACAGGATCTTCCAAATCTTCCAAACATTTGCGATTCAAAACAGGAACGGGTATGTACAGACGTAGGGTTTCTAGAAAGACAAACTTTTTTAAATTTGAATTTTTTAGAACTGTAGTTTCTACCCACCCTGTATAACCTGCTGCAGATACGACATTTCCTTGATGCTCTCATATGTGAAATCCTTTTCATATTTCTCCCACACCTCCATAATTTCCTGCCGTAATCGATTTTGTATCTCCTGATGTCTGGCCAGTTCGTAGAGGGCAAATCCTACTGTGGTCGAAAAGGTCTCATAACCCGCCAAGAAAAATAAAACAATTTGGGCGGCAATTTCCTCCAGGGTCAGGGATTTCGATTCTTCTCCATCTTCGGTTTTAATTTGATTCCCCTCCCGTAACTCCATCAGCATAGCCAAAAAGTCTTCCCTTTCCGTGGGATTTTCTTCGCGCGTCTTGATGGTCGTCTTAACCAAATCCATAAAGAATTCACTTATTTCATCGGGTATAATTTTCATGTGGAACTTTTTCACCAAATCGGGGAAATTAAATGCCAAGGCATTGCCCAGCTGGCCATTGCGCGGTTCACTAAGCAATCGCTTGCCCATTATGTGGAATTTGGCCTCGGGATTCGAAAGGCTGTTACAGTCAATGCCAAAGGCACAGCAGCCAATGACATCGGTACCAAATCGGGCCAATAGGTCTTTAAGTTCCAAAACATTTCTCCACTCCTCCTTGCCACTTTCCTGGGACTCCTTCAACTTCTTCTCCATTGTGTCCACCAAACGTCCCGTCAAATCCTTTACCATGGGAAACATTTTGGCAATTTTACCCGAACTGAAAGTGGGTGTCAGCTTCTGCCTCAACGATTTCCATTTCAGCCCATCCAAGAAAAACAAATGTCCCGTCAACGGGTCATCTTCTTCATTGTGAAAGAAACCACGATCCATAAATTTCGCAAAATCCTTGGTGAGAATATTTTTGATTAATTCCAAATCCAAAACAAACACCGCCGGATGGGAGAACCAAAAGAATCCGGCAAACGGACCGGAGCCTTTGAATTTTTTATAATAATTCATCCATATTTCGGGGAAGGAATATTTCGTTCGCATCCCTCTGAAATTGCCCAAAAGCAAGTGTGGGGGTTCACATGCCACCTGCCGCGAATGCCAATAGTTAAGGCGTCGTCTCATCAACAACAACAAATAGCTGATGAGGGTGACGAGAACGCCGACTAGAATGCCGAACACCAGCATCTTATCGCGTTTTTGAGGCGAATGGTACGCCGAAGATATCGCAAAGAGTTTTCGTTAGATACTGAGGAGTATTGTTTGTTTTTGGATAGAAACAAAAAAAATCAATTGCAGAAAAGTGAAAGCTTTTTTAGAGAGAGAGGGAGAGGAGAGAGAAATGTTGTTGGGATAGTAAATGTTAAATAATAATTGGGCAGAGGGTGTTCAATAATCTATACTAGGGGTGTACAAAGAGAAAATGCTCGGAGAGTAAATGAGAAACGCCATATGAAATGGCTTACTAAAAGAGAACGTAAAGAACGAGCTTGCTGAGGCATGTAAACAAGGGCACCAGTTCATATGCTTGCCCAGCACTAATCTCAAAACGTTCGGGACAGAATTTCTCAGGTTCGGGATAAATTTCCGGATCATGTTATATGTAGACGAGGGTCCCCTTCTTTATAACATAACCCGGTTTATCATGGAGAGCAAAGGACAGGGTCGTTGAGGATCTTTGACATTGCCCACCAGGAATTGTGGCTCTTCACAGGGTATGCCGAGGCGCCGCCAATACAGCATGCGGGATTTGTGCACAGGCCGATTACGGCATATATAGCAAATGTCACCTCCATAATTCCGATCCGTACTAAGCTTCAATTAAAACTGAACCATAACTATCTGCTTCAACTAACCTATTAAATACTCTAGCAAAAACAACAACAAAAATATTGCCAAAAGCTCTGAGCTTTTGTTTGTTTTTTTTTTACCAAAATATCATGACAATTGAAAAAAGCGAACAGGCAACAACAACAAAATTAATTTGGGGGTTCCGAATATTCTACTTGTCGATAACATCTGGTCATCAGTTTGTGAGTAATTCATGCAGTGACTTGCTGTGTAACTCCGGGGCATTTGTGCTATGGAATTACACGTGAATCTTATCAAAATATTTATTTTGTGGTCTAGGGGTCTTGTTATCTTACTGCAAGACTAGTCACGCTTTAGTCTGCGTCTGGACACTCAAAACCAAAAGTCACAGTTTATTATGTGAGCCAAATTTCGACACAGAGGCAATTATTAATAATTTAAAAAATCCATGCCTAGTTCTAGGCCTTGAAAAAATAACATAAAAACCGCCAAGCCTATGGGCAGGGCTTGAAAAACTAATTTAAACCAGTAAGGAATGTAGTAAAGTCGGACGGGGCCGACTATATGATACCCTTCACCACTTTGAGTATATTCAACAGATGAATCCTAACAGACGTCGCATTTTTAAAGGACCAGTAAAATTAAATTGTAACCATAAACACGTCATTCTGCAACCGATACTAAATTGTTCAGTTGGTCAGATATAGAAGCTATATCTAAATCTGAACCGATTTCAGGAAACTTAACACACATCTAGACCTAATTCATTACGCTGTGACAAATCTAGTGCAAACCGAAAGATATTAAGGGACTTTGGTGAACCATTTACATTAAATCGGACGAAAATTAATATGGGAGCTATATCTAAATCCGAACCGATTTTCTGGAAACTTAACATACATCATTCTAGACCCAATTCAGTACGCTGTGCCAAATTTCGTGCAAATCGAAAGATTTATAGGGACCTTGGTACACCATTTACATTAAATCAGACGAAGCTATATATGGGAGCTATATCTAAATCCGAACCGATTTTCTGGAAACTTAACATACATCATTCTAGACCCAATTCAGTACGCTTTGCCAAATTTCGTGCAAATCGAAAGATTTATAGGGACCTTGGTACACCATTTACATGAAATCGGACGAAACTATATATGGGAGCTATATCTAAATCTGAACCAATTTTCCCGAAACTTAACACACATAATTCTAAACCTAATTCATTACGTTGTACCAAATTTCATGCAAATCGAATGATATATAGGGACTTTGGTGCACCATTTACGTTAAATCGGACGAAACTATATATGGGAGCTATATCTAAATCTGAACCGATTTTCTCGAAAATTGATACACATTATTCTGGAGCTAATTCAGTACTCTATGCCAAATTTCGTGCAAAATCTAAAGATATATAGGGACTTTTGTGCCCCATTTACCTTAAATAGGACGAAAATATATATGGGAGCTATATCTAAATCTGGACCGATTTTCAGGAAACTTAACACACATCATTCTAGACCTAATTCATTACGCTGTGCCAAATTTCGTGCAAATCGAAGGATATATATGGACTTTGTTGCACCATTTATATGAAATCGGACGAAACTATATATGGGAGCTAGATCTAAATCAGGACCGATTTTCACGAAACTTGGCAGACATCTTTCTAGGCTCAATTCAGTACCTTATGCCAAATTTCGTGCAAATCGAAAGATATATGGGGACTTTGATACACCATTTTCATTAAATCGGACGAAAATATATATGGGAGCTATATCTAAATCTGGACCGATTTTCCGGAAACTTAACACACATCATTCTAGACCTAATTCATTACGCTGTGCCAAATTTCGTGCAAATAGAAGGATATATAGGGACTTTGTTGCACCATTTATATGAAATCGGACGAAACTATATATGGGAGCTAGATCTAAATCAGGACCGATTTTCACGAAACTTGGCAGACATCATTCTAGGCTCTACTCAGTACGTTATGCCAAATTTCGTGCAAATCGAAAGATATATAGGGACTTTGGTGCACCATTTACATGAAATCGCACGAAACTATATATGGGAGCCATATCTAAATCTGGACCGATTTTCACGAAACTTGGCAGACATCTTTCTAGACCTAAATGATTAGGCTGTACCAAATTTCGTGCAAATCGAAAGATATATAGGGACCGTTTACATGAAATCGGTTAAATATATATATGGGAGCTATATCTAAATCTGAACCGATTTTTCCCAATTTCAATAGGGTTCGTCCTTGGACCGAATAAGTGACTTGTGCCAAATTTCATCCAAATCGGATCATAAATGCGACCTGTACTTTGTTTACAATTTAACATGGACAGACGGACAGACGGACAGACGGACGGACGGACATGCATAAATCGACTCAGAAAGTGATTCTATGCATATTCTCAAAAGGAACCATGTGTCTATCTCGTTTCCTTTTGCCTGTTACAAACATATGCACAAAGACATAATACCCTGTACCACAGTGTGGTGAAGGGTATAAACACACGCCTAGTTCTAGGTCTGGAAAAATAATTTTTGAAAAATCCACGACAAGTTCCAGGCCTTGAAGAAGTAATTTTAGGACTTGGAAAAAATATTTCAAAAAATCCACGCCTTGAAAAAAATATTTTTTAATATTTTCACACCAAAAAGATGTTTGGGAAAAATATTTTTCAAAAAACTCTTCGCCTAAAATTAGGCTTTCACAAATATTTGTAAAATCCATTTCCGATCATTTTCTTCTAAAAAAGTAAAAAGAGGCAACCCTGAATAGCTGTGATAATTGTGTTCATATGTATCTGTTAATTATCAATTACAAAACGATAAACAAATATTTTTTTCTTTGTTATTGAAAAATAATCTCTATCGAAGAGATATCAATACTTAAAATATATAAAGAAAACAACAACAAAAATATGCCACAAATTTTAATAGATAAAGGCAAAATGTACTGCATAAGCCCCACACGGTCGAGCCCTGATTGATATTGGGGATTGGGGACATTTTTAGAAAAAAAAAATCGAGTGAACCATGCCAATAATTATGCATTTTGGAAAAAAAATTATATAAGTTCCAAATTTGGTTAATTTAATTTTTTTTCTAATTTTTTTTTATTAACAAAAAATTAAAAATTTTAAAATTTTTATTTTTTATATCTTTACCTCCATTTTGAATCTTCAATTTGTCCCTTTTGCTTTAGTCCCATCACACTTTGGTCACCTTCAAATAGACCCCACCCTCGGAACCCAACAGAAAACTCAGTTTAGTATAACGCATTGGAATCTGAGTTTGGGGACAGCGATCAAAACGAAATTTCCTCAGAAGACAGATGAGACCAATTTGGGCTTGCATTTTACCAAAACGCATACCAATACAGTTACGAGGGCCATCACCAAATGGCAAATACGAGAAAGGATGGCGTTTCTCTACCTCTTCGGGCAAGAAACGATCTGGTTGGAATTTTTCCGGTTCTGGGAAATAGTCGCCATCACGATGTATCGAATCCAAAGGTATGATGACACGTAAACCCTTTTCCAAAACGATATCTGTGTTCGGCACCTGATAGTCCTTGACACACAAACGCACCAAGTGAGGGGTTACCGAATATTTTCGTAGAGTTTCTAAACGAAAAAAATTAATTTAAAAATATTTGTTTTTTTTTCTAAAATTCTCACCTGAAATAACCATATCCAAATATTTCATTTCCTTCAGTACCTCATAACTCAGTTCATTATTATTCTTCTCCAAAACCTCCCCGATTTCCTGACGCAATTTCTCTTGGACCTCCGGATTCAAAGCCAATTCATAGAGGCAAAATGAAATTGTGGTGGAGGAAGTATCAAATCCCGCCAAAAAAAATACCATTGCCTGGGCAGCCAATTGTTCCAAGGTCAGGCCTCCGCTCATATCATCCTCATCCACCTGCTTGCCTTCAGCAATTAAATTATCCCTTTGCTGTTTCATCTCAATTAACATATCCATGAAATCATTACGCTTAATGTTATTTTTCAAACGATATTCGACCGTTTCCTTTACGGCCTTCATAAAGAAATCCGCCACATCATCACTAAAGGTTTTCATTCTCAGTTTTCGTGCCAATTTAGGATTGGTGAACATAAATCCCTGCACCGGACCCGAATGGCGCGGCCTCTCAAATATCGATCTACCCATTTTACGAAATTCTGCCTGGGGATCTATTAAACTATTGCACTCAATACCAAAAGCACACGTTCCAATTACGTCGGTGGTATAGCGGGCACACAAATCCTTGGCCTCTATTATGCCACATCCCGCCTCCTCATTTATGAACTTCAAACAGGCTGGTTCCAATTTCTCACCCACCTGGA